TAAAGAATTTACATTTAGTATATTTTAATTATATTTCAATGTATTTTAATTAGTGTTGTCAAACGATTAATCGCATCCAAAATACGTTTTTTTTTTTAATAATATATGTATGTGTGCTGTGTATATTTATTATGTATGTGTATATTTATTATGTATATGTTATTATTATTTATTGTTATGTATATTTATTACACATGCATGTATATGCTTCAGAAAAATAGCTTGTTTATATATTAAATATATTTACTTATAAATTATACGAATATAAATATAAACATGTAAATACATGTAAATAATATTTTCAAAATATATACTGTATGTGTGTGTATTTATATATACATAATAAATATACACAGAACACACAAATATATATTGCAAACAAAAACTTTTATTTTGTATGCGATTAATGATCGCGATTAATCGTTTGACAGCGTTCATTTTAATCGAAAGATATTTACATTGTCCAAAATATGTTTTTTTTCTCGCCCCTTTTCAAAATTTATTTTAGCATTTGAAGCTCTGAATTTAATTTTCAATTTGGAAAATATGTTTTCTTCAGCTGTGCTGTTTACAACGTACATTAAATGAAATATAATTTGACCACGGTACATCAATATGATGCATTAAAGGGTTAGTTTACTCAAAAATGAAAATGTCCTGGCTATTCCAAGCTCTATCATTGCAGTCAGCGGGTGTTGCAGTTGAACAGTTCACGAGTCGTCAAATAAAGCACGCGCATCCATAATAAAACATCCCGCACACAGCTCCGGGGGATGAATAAAGGCCTCCTGTAGCGAATCCATGTATTTTCATAAGAAAAATATCCATATTTCAAACAAGCGGAAGGCGTTCTGGCGGATGACGCAGGATGTATGTGTCGCGCGCGCACCTCTGAGATATGCTAGTCTCGCGAGTTTGTTTATAGGAGCAAAGGAAGCAAAGTTTCCTTACTTTAGCAAAGGAAAACCAGTCTCCTCTTGGTTTATATCGAAATCCTCCGACATTTTTCTTTACAAATCCTTGTTTTGTGCTTCTAATTCGTGACCGGCGTTTTGTTTTGTTCTCTCTCCGCATTCATCACTAATCACGCAACGCCGACGTCTTACGTCATCCGCCGGAACGGCTTCCGCGTATGACAGATAACGGAAGTGAGAGAAAAGTGTTTATTACGTTTGAAATATGGATATTTTTCTTACAAAAACACATGAATTCGCTACAGGAGGCATTTATTCAGCCCCCAGAGCCGTATGAGGCACGTTTTATTATGGATGCGTGCACTTTATTTGATGACTTGTGGACTGTTCAACTGCAACACCTGCTGACTGCAATGATAGAGCTTGGAATAGCCAGGAGAATTTTTAATATAACTCCGACTGGATTCGTCTGAAAGAAGAAAGTCATATACACCTAGGATGCCTTGAAGGTGAGTAAAACACAGGCTAATTTTCATTTTTGGGTGAACTAACCCTTTAAGCTTTTCAGAGCTCTGAATATATAGTGGGAGGTTACCTACACTGTCTAGTACAAAAAAGCAGGAAAACAACACATTCACCACATTTCATCTCATTAACTACTGGAATTATTGTATAATGGGGTTTTGCACATGCAGCACAAGATGTCCAAGTGTGAACATAATCAAATCAGCTTTCAAGCTCAAAAACAACACAAAAGCCCGAAGGTGTCTCAGACAGAAAGATTCATAACACATATTATACAAGTGTCTGGCTTTATTCAGGACGCTAATGTTACACACTCCTAACAGTTACAGTTAGGGTTAGTCCAGTTAAATATTTTACAAACTTTATTGGTCATCTTTGTCCAAAGTGCCTCATAAGTACAAGTGTTTTACACAATAATAAAATATTTGAACCGACAACCTTCAGACTGCATTTTTACAATTTTCACAGATAATTTGTATTATTTGTATGGCAAAAACTGTAAGTCTGATTACTTGTATACATATGCACCAACGTTTAATATTTCAGGTTATGGATTTGTTCTGGCTTCGCAAACATTACTAGATTCCAGGCCAGATCATTTAAATCAAATTTTTGGTGCCTGCATTATCTGTTACGGTGTTGACGTCACACTTTCTATATTGTAGGGTCGTGACCTGTCTGTGTAATGACTGCTGCCGTTTGTACAGAGACTCTGACGCAGTCATTCTCAAAATAGGCCGTGTCAGAGTAGGACTGGGTCAGGTATTAAAACTACAAAATAGACTTTCTGAACCCTGATTGTGCACAATTCAGACTGACCTCTCTGCTCATTTTAAAACACACAGGATTCAGTTAGAAACGGTCCAAAGCAAGTTCTAGGCAGGCTTTTTATAGTTAACTAAAACTGAAACCAAAAAACAAATTTTGTTATTTGAAATAAAGAAACATTAACTGAAATAAAATAAAATATATAAAAACTTATTTCAGCATTCTCATTTTCATTTAGTTTATCCTGATGTACAAAAATAACTAAAATAAATATGTATAAACTATATAGATAGACTACATATTAGAAAATATATAGATTCCAAAATTAAATTAAAAATGTAAAAAATTAAAAAATATTTAAAAAATAGAGTAAAAATTTTAAATAATTTTAAAAACATTTAAAAAAATATATATATATATTTTTTAATTTATTTCTTTATTTTTTGCTATTCTCCCTGACTCAAGAGTTAAATATCGTCCATCTATATATGCACAGCTTTTTGGACATTTTTGAATAAGGTAAAACTTGAAAATGCACTTCAGCAGAACAAGGTGGTGGCAATCGGTGCTTTCAGTAATGCATTATGATTACACATTTGATTATATAATACAGGTCACGTATACACATTCATTTCTTTGTCATTCACATTTATGCACAACTGTTTCTTTATCATATCTCATGTCTTTACTACAAAAAGCGATATGGGATCTTTTGCAACAGGCAATAATCTTTATGTACATTGTATACTACTGTGAACCATAAAACGCTACATGTATCTTGATTCTTTACTTTACAACTTTTTTACATAGTAAAAAGCTAAGATAAGCTGAAACATGTCCTCAGGTTACAGACCAGACAGAGTGAAACTCCTTGTGTTCTGGAGAGTCAACTGTATGCTAAATAGCACTGGGACTTCAAAAAGGAGTAGACAGACAAATAGACAGAATACAAGCTTTAAAGCAGAAGTGTGTCATTGTTCTGCAACAATGCAGAAATAAAGACTTTTTAAACAGGTTTCCCAAACAGCCCCGCTCCAAACTCATGTAAAACTCAAGTCAGTGCTGCTATTGAGCTGGTTGACATGGAAACGCTCAACTTAAAGCACCAGTATCTACAACTATTTTTTTTCAGTATCTATCTACCTACCTACCCCTCTCTCTCTCTAGGTCTCTATATATATATATAAGGGGTGTAATGGTCCACGTATTCAAACCGAAAATTTTCAGTACAGGTTTTTTGGTTCGTTACGCATGTGTACCGAACAAATACAGCATTGTTTTTAACCACTGCACGAGTGGAACTTCATTGTATTGTTACTTTCGATAAGTTTCAATCAGTGTTTCAACCACGGAAAGACATCAGTAAAAAATGTCACAGCATTTCATTAACCTCAGGCAAGTCATCAGTGTCCACAGCTCGTTAGTTCGGTAGAGCAATGAAGTCTAGAGAAGAGCATTTTGAGAAATATTAGACTATATACTTCATATACTATATACTTCATTATATTTTACTTTACCTGTTATTGATGTCTTAATTATTAAAACATAAAGCATACTTAAAGCCTTTATGTATAATGCATTATAACAGTTAGCTTATAAATTCATTGTTACACTATGCATTTTAAATTCGGTTATAATTATTTATGACAAGATATAATGTATTACAACGCACATTATGAATAAGTATAATGCATTATTCCCCTTAATAACCCTTTATAATGCATTATACATATAGGCTTTAAAGGGGTCATATGATGCAATTTCAATTTTTCCTTTCTCTTTGGAGTGTTACAAGCTCTTGGTGCATAAAGAAGATCTGTAAAGTTGCAAAGACTAAAGTCTCAAATCCAAAGAGATATTCTTTATACAAGTTAAGAGTCAGCCACACCTACCTAAAACGGCTCGTTCTAACACGCCCCCACATACCTACGTCACTCTGTGGGAAGATTTGCATAACGCCGCCCAAATGTTCAC